GAGGAGAGAGTGGAGCCACGGTCTGGAGGAACAGTCCATGGGGGGGGAACACAAAACAGTAGCTGGCTAGGGAATAAATACATACAAAACAATGAAAACGCATGGAGTAAAGTTTGCCTAGAGACTAGAACGAACTGGCAAGTGACTGAGGAGTGAAACCGGGTAATATAGTGAGCAACCTAATCAAGTGCAGCTGGTGATAAGGGAGTGAGGAACAGGTGAACGTGATTAGTGTTAATGGGCAAGAGACAGTAGGAAAGGTGAGGGAGGCCAGAGCGGCCGAGCAAACCTTACATCATGTTACTTTCTTTCTGTCCCTTTCCATTCTCCTCCTGTGCTTCTTTCCTCTGACATAACCTCTTGTCATATATTGTGCATTGCAAAACAGTTTAAAAACACCTACAATTCCACTAACATCCACTATGAAAAATATATTTCTTGCAGATACAAACCAGTAGTGCTTCATAATGTTTCAGTCATATTTGGCAGCCTATTGTTTAGGCCTATAGACCTCTGTGAGCAAACACCAGTAAGTGTAAGAAACATCATTTATTTTTTAATCCAAGCATGGAAAACATAAATATTATATTTCTGAGTAATCAGAAGTAGATTGGTCATTTAAAACATTTAGCAAATACATTTACTTAACCTCTTAACTCCTAGGGTGTTACTTCGCTAACAGAAATACCTAAGATAGTACTATACGTCTGGGCCCTTTAGCAGGTCCATAGGGTTTAACAGGCTAATAGAGGGTATTTAGTGTATATTTCCAATATTACTGCTTTGGCAAATCAGCTACAATATTTAGTCAAATGGATTCAGAAGGACAGCTACAATAGTGCATGGATAGAATTATAGCAAAATTACTGTAAAAATAACTCAGTTTCAGACCTTCCCTTCTTACCCAACTCTATTAAGAAAATGAATTACTGTAAGAACATCACAATCCTCTCAACTCCGACAGCCTGGTGGAAAGCAAACAAAGTCACTAAATCACTTGCATCATGTAGATACACTCCAATTTGACACAACCCTGATTTACAACTGCATAATAACCCTATCTATTTCCCAACATGGCAACACAAAGGAATCACTCACTTATATCACCTATTTGAAAATAACCAGTTCATATCATTTAATATACTGATCCAGAAGTACGGGGTTCAGAGAGAACAGTTCCTCCAGTACAATCAATTAAAATTTATAATTAAGACAAAGATTAGTGTAATCAATAACCCACTACAAGCCTCCAAATTAATTGAAGAGATTATGACAATTACAGATTCCAAGAAAATAATATCCCAGCTACTGTATATAAACTCATATCAAATACAGATTCAACAATAACAATAGCAAAACTCAAATGGGAAAGCGATTTAACTCTCTCCCTCACCTCTGACTTCTGGACAGAAATTTGCAATAACATCTTTTCTATGACCAGCAATGTAAACTTACAACTTATACAATACCAGACCATTTATAGGACCCATATTACAGAAAGTAAAATGTTCAAAATGGGTTTCACTGATACAGACATCTGCTCACAATGTACTCTAGGTTGCACTGACAGTTATTTTCATGCTACTTGGACCTGCCAAACAGTTCATTCCCTCTGGATAGCAGTGACAGAGAAACTCTCCACCATCTTGGGCTGTAGAATCCCTCCTTCTGCATCACTTTGTTTACTCATTAATATCACAGACGTTGACCACCTACCAATTAAATACAAAAACCCACTCCTCATTTCTCTGGCTATTGCCAAGAAAACAATCTTTCAAAACTGGAAATCAAAGAAATCACTACACATAAACCACTGGACCAACCTTCTGATAGAATATATCACATTAGAGAAAATGGCATCTGCTCACAAGAATATTTTATCAGCTTTTTATGACACATGGAACCCATTTCTTATACATTTCAACTTGAACCAAACACCTGGGGCTGAGACCACGCACATTCCCTCCAACCTCTAAAAATGTAACAAGTTGATTTTATTGGTAGTATCTTATCATTGTTGTTATAATTTTGTTTTTTTCTCCTTCTCCCTTTGTTGCCCTTCATAGACTGTATAAGTTGGAAATACACACACTTCACAGCTTCACACACCACGATCTTGTAAAACACTCTACATCTCTTTTTGTAATGTCATGTATCTGTTGTCTTGTCTCTCAGGTCCGGACTAGTTTTGTTAATGTGTTACTTTGTTTCAATAAAAAAAATGTAAAGTTTAAAAAGTTAATATACATATTTAAACATTAATATGTGACTTATTTCTTACAAATTTACTCATGACATTGAAGATATGACAAATACTTTGTATTATGATGCATTAAAATGTACTTACAGAGACTGTGTGCATCTCTTGCCAGTCTCTGTGTGAAGCCTTGTCAAACACACACACACACACACCAGCAGCGTTAGACCAATACATTTAATTTGTACTTGTGTTTTGTGGCAACAATTTGAAATGATGGTCAGTGACTGGCTACCAAAATATAAAATGCTAGGACGTGCCAGACTTAAATGGCCCATTTTACCTGAACTCCCCTTGCTGAGAGCAGTCCCCCCTCTTCTGAATGAACACCCTATTAAGCAGCACAACAAAAAGTAAAACTAAATTTCACAAAGCCAAAACCATAAATTAAAACCTATAACCCGCAGATAACAGATAGCTATCATGTAAAATGGTAAAAGAAAAAGAACAAGGATTGTGCCAACATCAGTTCATCAAAAGGGCATCAATTCAAGACAACCTTAAACATTACCACAGTATACCAGAGCACATCAACAGGAATCATGTACCACATTGCTTACTGTATGCAGTGCCATTTTCAAATACGCAAGTATCATATGAGGTACAGTACCACATGGTACTTAAACTAATATCATAGTAAATACCAATACATATCTGAGGATATCAGTGGCACCAGTCACCTGAGAGTGCACCATGGTAGTAACAGGGTGAAGTGGCACCTCTGTTATGGTTATAACCTGATCATTACAATGATATTTGAAAAAGGAATGACATAGTACCAGTAGTAGTAGTGAACCTCAAAGTAAAACAGGGGATCCATGCTTTTATTTTCATTCTAATACTGAATGGTAAAGAGTTTTATAAATGTTTTTTATATACTGTATATAAAATATTTTAAGCTCCAGTACATTATTAAATGTACATACTGTTGCAACTACTGATGAAGAAAGAACTTTCAGCCACATAAACAATGAATGGCTTATAAATGAAATGTAAAGCACTGATAATTGAGGCCCTAATAAAGGATGCACTTTTAGAAAGCAGAGCAGTAGGTCTGTTAATAAAAAAGGAGGAAAAAATAAGATAGGCAATACTATGCTAATTGATAGTGAGCCATAAAAGATAGGTCATGTTTAGATCGTTTCTCCATCTGTGGTTGTATCTGTGTATTTCATGTTGACAGAATTACTTAGATCCCATATCGCTACAGATATGAATAGAAAAGCGAAGCATGTAACAAGCCAGTGCTCTGTGAGACACTCAGTGTTGAATTCTCAGTGACAGAGCCTCGGCTGTTTGGCCAGCTGCCTTTTGAAAGTGTCACTCTTTTGAGGCAACGTTTAGCTTAGGAATGTTTTGTGCCAGTTATTCTGGGAGTTAAGACCTTTTCTGTAGCTCGGATTGAAATCCTTCTTGACATCATCCCCTTCCAATTGTTACACCCCCTCCTTGCTTTCTTCCCATTGGCATTTCCACAAAATAAATAGCATCCAAATTTTATCTGGGTTTTGCATGGTTACCATTTTGTTAATGGGCGGTCTGGCCTCTCGATGAGATGCGGAGCATTTTTGAAGGGCCCAGTGTGGTTGTTATAGCAACATTGCTGAGGAGTGAATGAAGTAGATGTCACAGTAATCCATCAACTGGCAGCTCCACACTCACACTGCTCACTGATGAACACACTGCTGTGACACCCTCTGCAACACGACCCTCAGTCATGACTACTTCACTCTGATCTGTCCTCGGACAAAACTGGAAATATGTGTAATAAACACAGAATTACCTTGTTTTGTCAATTCTAAGAGATATATTAACAAAACCAAATGGAAACACAGTGTGGGTTTACATGAGCAATGTCAACATTAACCTCTGATTTAGCGATACTACAGGATTTGGGCGATATGATTTCATTAGTTCGGTCACATACAAGAAAAACCTTTAATGAGGACGAACTCAGGATTGACTGGCATTTAATTATTAATTATTATTAACCAAATGAAAGAACTGTGATTAAACCTTCCTGTGATGAGTGTGTTTCAGTCTATAATCATGATTGTGATATTGTATTATCATGATCGGTCACTAGTATCCCTGTCAAGATACCTCAGATTGTTTTATTCATTCATTCACTGAGTTTTTAGGGCTGCATATTAAACCTTAACATTTGCTGAGTACCCACTGAAATGTCCATAAAACCAAGTATCAAACTGTCAAGCTTCAAAAACTGCAATGAAATTCTTGGACCTGTTCATTTTGTTGATTATGTATTTCATCAACTCAATCAAAACTTCTAATCTGTTGTTTTATTCATGCAGTTTTTACTGGTAATGAAACATTTTAACATATCAAACATATAGTATCTGCTTAGGGATCTTGCATGTTATTTCTTATCAGTCTCTCCCCTCATTTTCAGTCATCTCTCAACTTTTCACTGTGAAATAAAATGCATAAGATACCAAATAATGTTTATATGAAATAATGTTTATATGAAATAATACCCCACCCTAAATAGTATTAGTGAGAGATGTACTGTAACAATACTCCATTCTATTGTAGAAATGGAATTTGCTTTAAACTCCAGCCTTTGAAATGAAAGCATGGTCGTCTGTATGTCATATGGCTCAATTCAGCTAAGTGGATGGAAAAATGAGACATTTTTAACTTTTAGTTCTACGTTTATTTATTGTTTTAGCATCCTTTTCACCATTTACGACCTACAGTTAATTGTTAGCAGCTCAGAAGTCCAAAAAAATGGCAGACAGAAAGGTCGAGAATGGTTTTTAGACAGCAGAGTTTACAACTAAAAAGATGAAAAGATGGGGAAAAAAAAGACTGTGGCATGAATAAGCCAGAAACCAGCAGTTACAATGACATATTGCTCATAAAATGGATCACAAATGTACCTCACTGTTAAAAATTCAGAGTTGCTAATTGTTGTAAGCTAACAAATTGACTGATTAACTTTGCTAAAATTAACAAGGGTTCAAAATGAAATGGCAAGAGATGCAGTAGTTTATCTTAAAAAATGAATACTAAACTCGAAAAATATGTTTTGACTTTTTAGAAAAAGAAATGAAGGAAACCCTACACAAGGGTATACAGCATATACAGCACTCAGTCATACAAGCTAACAATGGTGGGACACCAATGGCTAGCATGGAGATGGCATTGGGACTTCAGCTTTCTATAGGTAAAAAGGCAAAGTGAGACCTTTCCTGAAATACATCACAATACCGCACATTTCAGTATGGCCTTACCAGGCCTTTATTCTGCTGCTAAGGAACAAGGCACATTTTTAAGACAGTGGTTCAGAGGTGTCAATTCCTTTTGCTAAACTTAACGGTTAGAAATGCTAAAGGAAAAAATATCAAATATAGAAAATAAATAAAAACATTTATATAAAAATAATCTCTTACAAAATATATTCTTGCAATCAACATTGAGGGGAATTTATGTCTGGAAATGTCCGTTGGCTCCTGGTGTTAACTTAGCTTGGAGAATCAGTACAGCTGCTTGGTCACAAACTCCATATCTTTCCACAGAACTAACAGCAAACAGGAAGGGAAGGGGGACAGACAGCAGTAGAAAACAACACTATCATACTGAGCTCATCAGTAGTCTAATGTGCTTCTACTAGGTATAATACATATAAGCAGCAGGTTTCCAAAATCAGTCAGGTTCAGCTCTGATGGTTTCAGTTTTCAGCTCCAGTGTTTAAGTTGCCTCATGAAAAAAAGAAGAAAACAAGGAGTCGTTTTGCTTTGAAGTGCAGTTGATTTGTTTTTTTTTACTAAAATGTCTGGCATCTGCACTAACTTAAAGCCATATCAGATTTAGTTGACAGTGAAGCTACAAAATTATCAGTAGTTTCCTCACTGAATAAATTATTAGTCTAGAAAAAAGAAAAAAAAAAGCTATTACTGTTTGAGGTGAGTGATGCCAGTAGACCAGTATGGCCTGCAGAGAAGACAAGCCTAGGGCACGAAATGGCATCCAACTTAAAAAATGAAAATAAAATGTATGAGTCCACAGGTTGAGTTCAGATGACAGATGTACACTGGCGTCAGTGTAATCAACACAGGTCGGGGGAAGTGGTTGTTGTAGTTGCTGCAATGCCGAAACAACAAGTCAGTCATTTCACACAGCCACAGAGAAATACTGTGTACTGACAACACGCACACACCCACATACACAGTCCAGCCTAGCTGTCTAAATATGTCCAATAAATATCTCTATTTACACGTATACACCTCTGTCCTCTCACTGCAGGTGTTGCATTTGACATAGCAGCACCACAGGAACTTGCAATTGCACTGCCATACTCGTGAGTATTGGTGTGTGTTATAACCCCGGCCGCAGCACATCAGGTCACAGCTGTTAGGCTGCTGGGCCGTTTTGTTGCACAGACGACCCTGCGTTCCCATGCTGCCAGTCAGAGGGTCGGCCTCGCAGTAGTTTGGTGATCTCTCGATGTAGACCAGCTCTGTGTCCATCGGTTTCCGGTAGGAATGGGGTTTCTTGATCTTTAGGAAGGTGGGGCGCTTGTTGCGGCTGGCTTGCACCGGCTCCACATGCACAGCCTGGTTGTACTTGTCCTTGAGAATGTATCCCAGCTGTCGGAATTTGGGGAGCGTCGTCCAGCAGGTTTTGGTGGTGCAAGATCCTGACACACCATGACACTTGCACTCCAGGCGCATGCCCTTCTCCAGGACCTTCAACATGGAGGGATAGTTCAAATAAGGCAACATTTCAGACTGAACATGTGTTGTTAAAACCACTCAAACTACAGTCAGATTTATAGATTAATGAAACTAAGCACATCTTCATAAGAGCTTAGTCTCAAAAATGGAGTACAGTGTAAACTATTTTTTGCTTTCACTGAAAAGTTTACTTTTGCACACAATTTCTTATAGTTTATTTGTTGCAGACAAGAAACATATGAGTCCAGAGAAGTACTCAGACATATTGCATGAATAGTTGAACAGGTTTAGACAAATGTTTTCTAGCATTCCAAATGAATGTAAGCATTCCAGACATCTCAGAACTGCTACAGTACGTCACCCTATAGCTAGTAGTATGCATATGCTATTCTTTTACAAGAAGGGTTGTCAAGACAGAGCATATTTATTGAAGAACCATATACCATAACCGGTTCTCATGCATGTTGTGTTATGCAGTATTGTATACTCATACTTTGCAAAGGCTTTGTGTTATTTTCACAGCATCAATTGATCTGTGCTGCAAAAGGTATTTTAACAACCAATTTTAATAAAAATTTTAAGCTGGTTTTATTAATCAAAGTAAATGCAGATAACTGTCAAAAATAACAAAATTAAAGACATTGAAATACTGTGCATTTGTAAATACCTTAAGCTCAAAGAATTATAGATCTTTTGTGTCATGCCTCTGTAACTAGGTCATATGTAACCTGTTATAATTACACAAAATTTGTCTTTAAAATGTAAATATGTCATATACCTGACTGGACCTCACAGCTTCCTTCACAGTTCAAGCTCAAAGCCCATCCTCTGGGTTTTCTTCTTCTATGGTCCCTCCTATAAAGTTTGTGCACCCCGATCACCTCTCCCCTTCTGTACATGTGTCATGTAGAAGTTATAATTATAATGCATGTTATTGTTTTAGGTGTAGTTTTTGGTCTCTCTTTTTATCAACACGTTTATGACTTTAGGTTATGAACTTAGGTTTAACAGTCAAGAGCTGCTAGCTTAAAAGTTCAGACAAGTAAAGCTAACTCCCATTTGGTTTCTCCATTTATTTTATCTGGGCAGGAGCTGGAGTGGGCAGCTCATTTACATGGAGGTCTTTTTGTTATTCATGATTGTCAAAGTTGAAATAAATGGAAATCAAGCTCCAAAGAGATCCCAGTGTCACATCATCATTCACGCCAACACAACGCAGAACCACACCGGTCACACCTCTACAGAACAATCTGGGTTCTGTTTCGTAAGGCGACAGTATCTTGATCAACTGCTTCACTGTGGACAGCAACAATGGAAAAACAGCCAGTGTAACTACAAAACCTCTCTTTGTATATGGTTAGAATAGAATAAATACAAGGAGATGGATTAATTCAAAAATAAGCTAGGTTAGTTAACATGTCTGATGAGGCAGTTTTGTCTGTCACCAGATCGAGACGTTTATAGCCAGCAGAGTGGCAGTGAGAGGCCTTTTCAGGGTTAGAGTGGAACCCTTTGGTGTGTTTGGAAAAGTAGCTGGGGTATTGTCCATGTGCCTCAGGCTGAATGACATTAACTTACCCTCTTTTCTCCCCACTGAGTGGGAACCCTCACTGGAATTAGCAAAGCCTCACCCTGCTTTTTAATTATTCCACTCTGATGACCTCAGACTTTCTGGAGTCTCATGAGGTAATTGTCAGAATCCTTGGATGCATATAGCTTAGTATGGTCATGCCCCCAAGACCTGGCAAGCATATCTTTCATGTAGCTGAGTGAAGTGAGATGCCAAAGAAGCTGCCACTGTTTGTCTAACAGAACCCCTGTAAGCCTCCTGTGGCACCTCTTATACAATTGTTTATTCTTCTCAAGAAATTTGAAAGTTAGCACTCAAAAACACACACTGACATCATTTCCAATTAAACATGAAAGCCTTACTACAATAATTACAGAGGTATCACTTCAGTAGGTGTATATTAGGAGATTCACACACTTTATGACATTCTGACTCAGATGTGAAGCATAATTCCACCAAGCCCCAGTCTACAACCTGTCACTGTGACACTGCCATGAAATCCATCTAAGCAAACTCACTGTTCAGCTTCTCAATTTTATAGCCCTCTAAATGTACATTCTTCTAACAGAAAATAGTCCACACTGAGTCATTTTAACACAGAGAAACCACTATTTAAGCATCAGCATATCCAGTAAAACCATGCTATGTTACATTTATGTTACAATTAATTGTTTCATCTGTAAAATGCTACAGGTTCTGCTTTTGTTTCCACTGCCCTCCACCCAATTAGGAGATGAATTCCAGGAGCTAATTTTCAGCACCCCTCAGGAGGGGAGAACTAAATCAAGTTCCAGGAACTCGCTGGGGGAGGGGGTTGGTGCTGGCAGGACTGTACCTGTGATTGGTTAAACAACAGCATCATTGAGGCTCAAGTTTTACATTCACAGTGTGTAAACATAGACTTGTACTAGTTTAGAGGTTCAATAGGTGGGCAAAGCAGCAGAGATGTCGCATTTGTGCAAGTTCTGCTTGTTCAACAGCTGTTTGATTAACTGCTACAGCTTCTGGTAATGGCAGGTTTTGTTTAACACATGATTAAGAAGCATTGTGGTCCTTGACTTGACGCTCTCTGCTCAGTTGGGTGTGTAAGGAACTCAGGCCCGCCCTCCTGTAACTGTATAAAGCAAAGCGGAAATGACCATCTCAGCATTTTAGGTTCCAAAGGGTTAAGGGTACAGTAAGCTCCAGGTTATGGCTTGTAAAGTTGCCATGGTAGAAAAATACTATAAGAGTCTACAGCCATGCTTCTAACTCTGCTGGGCTGTACTTAGGTACAGCAGTGTTTGAGCTAGATACTAATGTATCATCAACTCACTAACCGATATGTAGCAGGTATGAGGTTTACAATGGTTCAGTATTTCAATTTAATATCTCTGTTTGCTAATATTTGCAGGGAATAACCAAAGTAAGTAAATTCATTCTCTGTCTATATGGCAAGCCATGCAGTAGTTGAGATATTTCAGTCTGGACCAAATTAGTTGGAAAGCTGAATTTGTCTACATAACTTCATGTTCAGGCCATGTAAACCGCCTGCCGATATGTTTACATTAATCTTTAAAATAAAAATAAAAAAATCTTTTATTGACCCTAGCCAGCAAATTTCTACAGTTTGAGTTACTGGGGATTAGCAGCAGCTACACTGTATCTTAAACAGTGGTCTCATACATAGCCTCACATTACTGAAGAAGAAACACCCGTTTCATATAAATGCAGCAGCATCTAAGACATCTACACTCCAGTAGATGCTCCTCTCTAGGCTGCAGTATTCTTGGATGTTTTACTACAGACTTCCACTGACCTAAAGCAAGGCTGCTGGGGCTTTTCCAGTTGTTTTCCAGTGGGGCCACTTTGTGGGTGGTCCTGTAATGTCATTGATCTGTCATTTGGCTCCCTACTTATGCCCACTGGTAAATAGCATCCGAGTCTCGCTAATGCACTTTCATATGCCACAGTCCTGGGTTCACCTCACTGTGCATCCTGTCAGACACTGTTACATCATGACTATGTATTCTGGGTTCTCTAAATGACTGTAGGATCTTGTATTGACCACACTTCACATCCTCAGTGGCGCCTGATGCCACTCTACTTGTCATTTGCCCTGGTTGTGACCTCTTTCACTATATCCTTCTGAGAAATGACTGCAGCCAGACTCTAACAGCAAAAGACTATATAAAACCACATTTTCAACTGTTTTATGTGAAAAATTATAACTGCAACAGAGTTACAAAATAGCTTAATCTGCATTTAACTACAATTACACCATCAAATATTCAGATTTACCTTAAAAATGATACATGTAGGAATAATCGTTTTTATACATTGGTGCATGTATTTCTTTTACGATGCTGGGTCAACCCAACTTGATATGTTTGACAACAGTGTAACCAGTTAAAGACTAAAGCACTGACTATAGAGCACTGCAATCACTTCATACTGTATCTTTACTATATTTACTGTTAAAATCATCTTGTTTGTCTCTCAGTCAATATTATTCTTTTTTAATCACCTACCAAATAATCAGCTTTGTTTGTCATGCTGCTGTCTTTACCTGTAATTGTAGCACATTTCCTACAGTTAATTATTTTCAAATGACAGCATACAAAGCCCAGAATAGTCTCACTCATTCTCTTGTCACACATCCTTCCTAAATCGCAGTCTAAGGGCTATTGTATCCCTGATATAACTGAAGAATCAGTTACTTTAATATCCATCCACTTGTTTCAGCTGTGGATGAATCCACATGTGGTGAGATCAGTATTTCCACAAGCAGGACGGTGAGTGTGGGACTGAACAAAATAAAGTGTGTGTGTGTTCATGATAATGAAAGAACATGTCACATGGTGCAACAGTGTGACTCACTGATGTGTTTTTCATAGTTTTTGGATGACAGTGGAACCTTGTGTCACATAGCAGTAAGACACATCAGGTTGTAGATACACAAACAACACAGTCACTATAATCAATGTTTGCCAGCCAAGTTTCTTTTGCCCACTGATAATATCAGTTACAATGACAAAGTGTAACCACATCAAATTAGTGTTCCATGTCACTTTAGCCCCTCCCACCCAAACTGTATGCATTAGCTTTGATCGCCCAGTGCTTTGGGGTTTCTGACCATGAGCCTCTACTGTAAACAGCATACTATTTGGTGATTATTATTATCATAAGATTTGGACATGATAAAATAAAAGCAAAAATAAGGAGAGACTATTACAAACATACCTTGCGTCCTACTTCATTGTTATGTAAATTCATGAGAGTCCTGGCATTCTGCTTAATTTCCCGTGCATCCACAAACATCTTGGAGAAACTCAGGCCGTAGTGGATGTCTGCAGAGCAGCCGCCCCACTTCCAGCCCTCCTTCTTGTTGTAGAAACCCTGTTTCTCCTTGTCACAGCCACATCCACTCAGACTGCCCTGGGTGCAGGCTGCAGTGACTGCATGGGCGACCCCTGCAGCGATGATAGCATAGGTGAACGCAGCCTCCTTACTGCCTGCGATGAAGAGAAAAGACATTTTAATTCACAACTGCCGACAACAGCATTCACTATTTCAGACTCTGTCAAGCCTCCTTGCATACCTGGCATAGCTGCCTCTAACCAAATCATAAAATACATCAGCCAAGCTGAGTCCAATTCATTAATCATAGTCTCTTCAAACAGATAAACTTCAGGAGGAAGATCTGAGTCGTGAGGAAAACAGAATGGAGCAATTTGGAAGAGTAGAAAAGCACTAATAAAGGAATTTACTTCTAGATAAGGAGGACAGTTTCATTGTAATTATAAGTTACTGTATAATCAAAGAACCTACAGACTGGTGTGAGGCTAGTCTGCAATTTCACCAATTACTGTACCATTTAGTGGGAGATAAAATATTGAATATTTAGGCGTCACTTTGGCCCTTGTCCCAGCTGCCATCACACTGAGATACACTCTGTGGAGGTGAATCTAAGAAGCATGCAGAACCTCCCTACATGGATTGATTTCCACTCCATAAATCTGAGTGCTTCAGGTCGGCTGTATTTTTTTTAATTAAAATAAAGATTATTTCTACTGGGACACATGTGGCAACCTTCCAAAAATGACCAGAAGTTGCAAAAATGTTCCAAGAAGATAGGCAACTTTAACAATTAAACCACCACAGAAATGTTTTAGACATTCAAGCTCACAGTTCTTCATACACTGACATTTCTGTGCAAGTGCTGAGCTTTGCCATGCAGTGATGGACGATCCTAGCATGATGTGTAAACCAAAGATATTAACTATTACACAATTTCCAACAAATGCTAATATTCCTCTACAGTTTGTAAACAAGCAGCGAGTACCCACACAAACTTATTTCAAGTAGCCAGCTTGGTGGGTGGGGAGGATACATGATCCTAAGGCCAAAATACTGTACACTGCTGCAACACTGCCAACAGCAATCCCAAATTTGTATATGCTGTCAGTTATCAGTGTTCCAGTCTGCTGAAACAAAACAATAAGTTCAGACCCACTTTGTGCCGGGCAGCGGAGCCTGCGCAGTGATCTCCTGGAGCTCGGCCTGATTCTCATCCAAATTTGGATAAAAGTTGGGTTTTGCAATGGTGAAATGTTTACACTCATATTCTATCACTGAGTTTGGTTTAAATCAGCTGATATTCATAAAAGCTGTTGTTGCTTCTCTGAAGCAGCCCAAAGTCATCTCCTGCCAAAGCTGCAGAACCTGGAGGTACATTTATACACCTAGAACAAAGTACTTGTTTGAACTTGAAGCTTTTGGGGGGAAAGCATTTCATGAAGGTGGTTTAGCTGCAAGTAGATGAAAAGCATGTTACAGGCTATGAAAAGGCAACAGGAAGGCAAAGAAATGCATTTAGTCACACCACTGTATGTATTCATGATAAAACGCACTGAAATGAACAGTCAAACGATGCCAATGCATCACGTCAGCCAATAAAATCAGAGGTAACTTTATGAATTTTATGACAGGCATGGATGGATTACCAAACGGGCCTGCCGGACACAGGCCATGGGGCCCGAGCGGTCAGGAAAGGCCTGGGCCAATGACAAGCACTATTTCTTATTTAAATTTTATTTAAGGACTAGAAATAGATGCAAAACCACCACAAACAGACTCAAAATAACCACACAGAGTTACAACATTACCACAAGGAGATGCGATACCATCCAAAAGAGACAGAGAATAACTACAAAAAGACTAATGAATTATTGTAAAAAGACACAAAGGGACTGCAAAGAAACACAGACACAAAACAAGCACAAAGAGAAGCAACACTGCCATAAAGAAACAGAAGAACAACCATAGAGACACTCAATGACTGATGGTCCTGTATAGAGGGGGGTTGGGGTTGGGAGGGCCCATCACCTACCTGTGCCCAGAGGCCCATTTTCTCATAATCCGTCCATGATTACAGGAAGCTTTATTACAGTTTGAATCAACCTATAAGGCACAGGCCTGTTCATCCGCACACCACAGTTTGCATCACATTACATCAGTCTGGTGATGTACAGTGCAGCAATCAGCATGAATTAAAGGCTTAAATATGATGTGAGCTATGATCCTTGGTGACAACTAAAGTGAAAAATGACACTCAAGCTGTGCATCTCTGCCTGTGAGATGGCAACGTGAACTGAAAGGACAAGACAGTTGAATACCAGCATGTTAAATAGGATTCTCCACTTATTTCCGCAGTTCTGTCTTTGGAGCAAGCATTGCCTCAAGCCTTATTCCACACACAGGATCAAATCAGTGCCTTACTTTCCCACCAAGAGTGGATGCACTGAGTCTGAGATTCAGCCTCACAAACATGTCAAAGCAGCAGAGGACAAGTAACTATTTTTGGACATTTCTTTTAGCATTCTCACGGCTAATTGTTCAGCTTTGTCTTTTCCTTTTAGACTCTGGTTCAGACACTCCAAACAATAAAGATAAAATACACCAGCAATCAAAGGTTTATTGATGAACAAAATGGGAACTTGTCCAAACTTTTGACTAGTGTATAAAAGAATAAATGTGAAAAATGTGTTCTGTTGATTTGCAGTGTACATTCAACCAGCTGCTGTGCAGCACTTTAAAAATGAAGCTGCTTATTTGTCCGTAAATACTCTCTTATTAGTTAAAAAAAGAAGCCCTGTGAGCTCTACCTGTGAACATCAAGGCATGCTGACATGTTTCAACAATGTCTTTTGTGGCCCTTTGGTAGAAAGACTCAAAGATTAAGTGAAGCTCTTACTGAAATATGTATTTAAAAGTTTTATACTCACCAAAAACAGCAAAAATAGTAATTCAGTAATATCAATTACACCGTTTCTGAACTGCACTGTGGATCTATAGAGCCCTATAAAATTGTATGAATACAATCCATGTCATATGAATAAAGTGCAATAAAACCACCTTCAACTTAAAGGAAGGTCACAGAACCTCGTGAGAATGTAAAGAAAACCATTATTTGAAATGTGTGTTGAACAAAGAGTCAATAAAGTCAGTGAATACATGTGCAAATGTTTCCCCTCTGTCTCGTTAAAATAAAATCGGAGAGCAACATACCCACTTTGAGCTCTCTCCCAAACACAGTCCTCTCCCCCAGGGCCGAGCAGTTCCAGCGTCCGTGTCTGAACTGGAACTGACACTCGTTGATGCCCATCTGAACTCCTTCTCCGATCACTATGATCGCGTCTGGTCGGCTCTGACATATAGTCCTCTGACGGGGGGCCAAGCCGGGGATTTTATTACAGATGATGCTCGCTCCCAGTGCAACCACCGATGACAGGCCCCTGCAGTAATGGTGACAGGTTAAAACACAGCATTTTCCTATGGAGGTTCTGTCCGGACCTTTCTGGAGAGAAATCGGAACTGTTCTAACCTTTAGCACGTGTATAATAAGTGCACCGTGTGTTCTGGGGATATTTCTACACGGAAATTAATATAGCCTAATAAAAGGTTAATTCATTTAACTATACCCCACTTGCAAGGGAAACAGTCAGACCACACTTTTTTGGAGGGGGGAGTCTGTCAGGTGGAAATCATGATTACACTTTCTAAAAAATCAGAAACATTTCCCCGCATTCCTTTCAAACAGTGGCTGTGCGAAACATCCCTAATCACTCACCCGATTTTCAAATACACTATTCCAAGGCACAGGAAAAAATGGAAACTCCAGCGCCTTGTCTTCCTACTCATGGTGCTCAGTCCAGCCGGTAGGTTTCTGTCCTGCTGTTGTAACAACCTGCTTTAATTCTCTATCGAGTCCCTCGGGATCTCCAGGTGTTCCGGGCTGCAGAGGCGGGTAGAGCTCCTGGGGACAAACCAAAGTTTGTGGAAATCAACTCGTCCTGATTTCATTTGGTAGGTGTCCGGTGGAGTGAGCCTGCGGTGGAGCATTGGGGCTGGTGTTTCCAGGTAAGCAGCGCAGCTCCTCACTGATCAGGCTCAGTGTGCGCCTACCTTTTCTACCAGGGCGTGTTCTGCGGAGGATCTGCCTCTGAGCCGCTCATACGCTCTCAGCCTGCAGGTACATGCTCAGCTCATCGCTTCTCCTGGCTGGGACACACTCAGACCTGGGTACAGCTGAAATACAGAGCCAGTCTCATCGGAAGCTCCTCACATTTGCCACATGTCATCTAACAGAGAGTCGACGTCGTCTCCAGGACAGTGGGGGATCCGTGCGCCTCAGGAGCCCACCCCGCCTCTGAACAGTAGCACCGGCACTCTGTAGGCCTATTTAGCTATTTTCCAACGCCCCTCCCATGAATTCTGTGTTATCTTGGCACATTTTGAACCCCTGTCTCCATCAGATCACTTTTCTTCTGATGCAGTTTCAGATGATTCTACACCAGTTAACTAACAACAACGGTGGTGACTTGTACTGTACTGGATACTTTTTATACCACTTTACATTTCAAAGGGAAATGTACTAGGCCTATTTATGTCCCAACATTTATGTGACAAGTTATTTATAATTTTACAAAATAAAAATATTCTTGTAGACTCACTGAAGCTCCATCTCCACCAGATGCCACGTTATGCTCACTATAAAGCATCAGTGCTATTATGGATCATGTGTAATTATACTTTTAACAGGAAACACTTTAAGTAGCCCACATTCTTGAATTCTGACATTTTTGTTGTAATAGAGTATTTTTAATTTGCGGTGTTGTTACTTTTACTTATGTGAAATGACCCCCGTTTTGTATTGAACTGAATATAAGCCATAAAATACTTAGTTGAACCACTTACATTAACAGCATTGTGGGTCTGGCAGAACAGTATAGTGCGATGGCTGTAGCGCTGTTAGTCAGGAATCATGTTTTCTCATCAGGTTTGACCAATACCTCCATCCACTGGGCTTCGTGATGGTCTTCTGTGTAGGACTACACCACCATCTGCTGGCACATCCCTGGAACTAATGTGCATGGCCTAATGAACTGCTTAGGGGCCATGGGCCAAACATTGCTGCACCAGATGTGCAGTGTAACTAAGTACAATTACTCAAGTACTGTACATGACATAAGATGTCACATTCCTGTTTTTCTCCTGTTCATCAATATTAGAATTTAATCTCATCCCTGCCCTGTCCCCTTATTCTATTTCTCTCTTGTTTATTTTTGTCTTTGTAAAGTGTTCTATTTCACTACTTTTTACAATTATCATCATCTACTGTATCATTTTATTTATTCACTCATCTTTCTTCCCCATTAATGCACTGGGAGGCGTTGTATAGGTGATGCTCTGCCCTGTCCCTGGCAGTGATCTGATCTGGGGTCGCCTCTGGGAGTCTGGATTGGGCGGCGTGCAGGAGGAAAGCCACGCCACTCTTCCCTTTCCCTCAGTCACACAAAACATCAGTAGACTGCTGACAAGCTCCCACCTCAGGGTCTGGGAGCTGTTTATGAGGGGAATACTTCAGGCAGTGGGTCGGTCTCTCCTTTCAAGGTCAGGGACCGACCCCAGTCTTACAATAGTAACAAATCATGATAAACAATAAAACAGAGGGCAGGCTGAAATTAACCATAAAATAAAGCTCCTGCTGTCCTGGCCGACCTCCCTCCGCGGAGCAGTTCCCTGGCTCTCCAGTGGTGAACTCAGTGTGTTACGGTGCCTTTGATTCAGAATGAAAACATCACCCACATGCTCCCCATGCTGGTTTAAATCGTCCTCACCACCTCATGCCCCATTTTTCCCCTCCCATTTTTTTTCAATTTAATTTTTTTCCTTCATAAACTGTATAAGCTGAAAATAGGTATCTGTACTTTGAGTATTTTCATTTTCTGCTACCTCATATTTGAACTCCTACATTTTAGAGAAAAATATTAGACTTTTTACTCAACTACATGTTTGATATTTTTAGTTACTAATTCCTTTCGAGAATCAGATGAATAAAACAAAATACAGTATAATCAATAAGACATTGATCCTTGGTGGGAAATTCACAAGCACCCAGCAGTATGTCAATTATGTAGATCCACCTTTACCAGATGTTGTTATACACATCAATAATTATAGTCGATATGATGTATATTAATGTGAAATGTGCCATTCCGCAAAAGAGGACTTTTACACTTAATACTTAAGTATATTTTGATGGTAATGCTTTTGAACTTTTACTTAATTATGAATGCAGGACTTCTACTTGTAACAAGAGTATTTTTAGACAGTGGTATAGCTACTCTTAAACAGTTGGATTACTTCTTCCACCAGAGGCTGCATCTGTTTCCTCCAAGTTACCATCAAGTACAACAGGCTACACTCTGCTCTCTATATGTCGCACAGAGACCCAGAAACAATATGTATAACCTGGTCCAGATTTTCTCTGTCAGTTACTCTGTGGTAATTTGATTAAACAACGCATACAGTGAATTACACTGTCTGAGCACAAATACACCACACTTTTGGTAGTGTTAGAACAAGATTTTAAACCATAGGGCCACAAAAGCCTACATAACAATGCAAAGGAGATAATACCATACACCAGACTGGTCTAATCAAAGAACTGCAAAGCAGCAGACACACAGTGAATCTCCGGGGACCCTGGGACAGTTTCCCACTTAGTAGTGTAGGGGGCAAGATTTACACCAAGTCAGATAAACTAAGGTGTTTACACGCATCATTCAGTCAGTGCCGGCTTATAAACCAGGCTGTACCACAACTCTGGTAACTTGGATTAATCTAAAGATGACTCCTGTTGTTGCCTCCTGTACAATATATCATCGTCCATTTATATTGTTCATACTGTTACTCTGTAGATTAAGATGTCATGGTGTCGCAGTGGTTAGCGCTGCCATCTCACAGTAAGAAGGTTCCGGGTTTAAGCCGAGGCCTTTCTGTGCAGAGTTTGCATGTTCTCCCTGTGCCTCCATGGGCTCTCTCTGGGTGCTCCAGCTTCCTCCCACAGTCCCAAGACATGCATCTTAGCTTGATTGGTGATTCTAAATTGCCCCTAGGGGTGAGTGTGAATGTGTGCGGTTGTTTATCTCCATATCTGCGCTGTGACAGACTGGCGACCTGTCCAGGATGTACCCCGCCTCTCACCCAGTGTCAGCTGGGATTGGCTCCAGCCCCCATGGCCCTGTTCAGGATGAGCAGTATAGATAATAGGAACACAGACGCTGATGCACTGCTATTTACTTTACTACTGCATCAGTAATACTAATCATCCAATAAAAAAAAACAAAAAAACAACAGGCATTCTGCATAATATACATTTTTATTTTTAAAAGTGTAAGCACATTTAAAAAGGTCTGCACATTAAACATGCAAGGCCTTTACTCTTAAATTGAGTGCATTACTTTTACTTAAATGATATGAATACTTAAAAATAACTGGGCACTGATAGTTCAGTATCAACTATTAGTCCACAGCTTGTAGCTAAGTCCACACTGTACCCGAGTTTATTACCATGCTCAAGAAAATACAAAAGGATGTTTGTTTACACTGTCCATTTATATCATGGCAAAAGCCATGTACCTGCCACAATCTATTATAACATACAAGCTTTTAGTGCTGAAGTCTCAGAAAAACTGAAAATGAATGCATCAAAACCATTTAATAAAAAGCAGAGATGCCACTCCTCAGGGAAGGCAATAGATTGTATAGTTATCTTCTAAACAGGGTAAAAATCGCTACCCTACAACTATACAATCTACTACCTCACACTGTGTGAACAGCTGGAAGAAAAACTATAGGTTAAGACAACAACTGGTCCCCTTCAAACACTGCTGTCTGAAGACTGGCCTCCAGACTCCATGTGGGGAAACCTGAGACGTGCACTGACACTTTGAGAAAGACAGTAGGTTGAATAGTTATCTCCCTGTGCGGGTGTGACCCTAAAACTATACAACCTACTACCTCAGCCCACAGTGCAAACACAGCTGTTTGCTCCAGTCAAAGAAGACGTAATGATGACGAGACTCCAAGACCAAGGCCACGACTCAGAGCAGAGCTGAGACCTCTGACTGTGGAGAGTCAAACACAGAGGGGCTAAGATCAGTGATAAAACAAGTGAGGAAATAAGAAGTAGCTTAACAAGAGAATCGTGACTGCTATTGCTGTGCTGGATGAAAAACTGAGGATGAACTGCAGCTTATGTAGATACAGTCAACAAAAATTAGCCCAATGAAGGCCGGTCAGGGAAACGGAGTTCATCTTAAACTCAGTGCCGTGTATAGCAGTGGAGTGTTACCGCGCAGAAAAATGAAACATTTCTGGACTAGTGAAGACCTGAGTTTGCTGCAGCAGTACACTACAGGCATCCCATCACTCTTAGGATAAAGAGGTCATCCTCTAATGTCAGAAGAATGCAATACTTTTAAAATAAAATATGTTAATAGGCCTGTGAAGTTGAAAACGGTGCTTCATCATATGGGGAACGTCACGTTAAATCTGAGGTTAAAGTGTAATCTCATAACTACACTGATAAGATGAAACATTTGAGGATTTGTCTGATTCAACTCAGCAAGCAACTGAGGGTGAGAACAGTCAATTTAGAGTCTTTTTTTCATATCTTTAACAGTTAAATGTCAGAAACCAGTGACCTGAGGCCAGTGTGATTTGCTGCTTCGCTGGATCTGTCTGACTGCTCAGTGTGAAATTGTTAAAACATTCAATGCACAATGATGCACAAGCAGCAAATCCTCACATATAACAAGATGGAACCAGGTTTGTGTGGGAGCAACATTTTTGATACATTGAACAACCAATTACCAAAATGAATGAAAAATTAACTAATTAAATTGTTTTAGCACAAGAGGAAACGTTTTAGGGGCAGAACAGTGGTGCAGTGTTTAGCACTGTCACCCACAACAAGGTTCCAGGTTTGAACCTCATGGCAGACCAGCTTGTGTGGAGGTTCTCCTGGTACAAATGGCTTCCTCCCACAGCCCAAAGACATGCAGCTTAGCTTGAATTCAATCAACAGAACCTGAGCAAAATCAAATAAAATGAATACACCATAAATATGTGTATGTATGTGTGAATGTGTGTGGTAGGTCGCCCTGTGACATGACGGGCGACCTACCTAATCTACAGTCCATCCACCAATTCGCAACTAAATACATTCAATTTACATACATGAACCTTTACATTTTAGAAGATGACAGTACAGTGGAACCTTGGATTGCGAGTATAATTCATTTCGGCAACGTGCTCGTAATCCAAAGCACTCGTATATCAAAGCGAATTTCCCCATAAGAAATAATGGAAACTCAGATGACTTGTTCCACAGCCACTTATTCATATAAAAATGATTACAATAATACAAAATACAGTATAAAGTAAAATTTAAACAAATTAACCTGCACTTTATTTTTGAAAAGAACCAGTGACCTGCCTTCTCTCTATCCTCATACCAGTCTACTCCTAAATCTCTTAAACCTGCGAACGTGTTGACTCCATCCATTTAGAAAAGAAGCGGCCCCAGAAGTCATTAAACTCCTGTGTGACCAGTGTTGGGCCAGTAAAATGTAGAAATAGTTATTTCTGTCTTCAAGTAGAGATGCTGTTATTCTGCTACTCTGACATGCGCTCAACTCATGGATTGGACTGAAACCGTTAAATAACTTAACATTAGACAACCTTTCTTGGCACTAGCACCGACACTCCTTCAACAGGCAATGGAAGCTAACGAGCTAGCTAGTTGTAATAGTCAGCCAACATGACTGGGCATTTAAAAACATCTTATTTTGATTGTGTCACCGCTAAGAAACGCGTATTAAATGCAGCCATTAAATACATATTTAGTGTGCTATAATCACCACGTCCCGCTGTGCTAGCAGCGTCAATTAACCACTCCTTACAACTTGCTAGCTACCCCTATGGAAGTAGCAGCGAGCTAGCAGCACGTTCGAGCATGGTTAAACCAAAAAAGCAAACGTCATATAAAAGTGTAGCAGCTGTCTCTTCCGCTGCGAAGTAATACCGGATGTTATTAAAAGTCTTTTAAACATACATGTCCAAGCATAAACATGTATCTTACTAAAATTAAACGATTAAAAGCCTACAGCCTACCTACCTGCCATGATCGAAATACTCCACCCTCTGACCACTGCTTCTTCTTCTCGGTGCATTTTACAACACGTTCAATATGTATCACTGCCCCCTAACGTTCTGGGGTATAATCTACAGCAATACTTCTAATACAATGTATGGATTGTGAATAAAATCTAAACTAATAATTTCACAAATAAATGAATACCGAGTGCATTATCATTTTTAAAATCACCAACTTGATTTTAGCATTTGTTTTCTTTCACAAAATAGAGTCAAGTTCATCTCATTGCATCCTCATTTTGATATTTCCTGCAGTGAACATTAAAATGCACAACGTTTTATTTTTTTTGACAGTAGTTATAAAAGGAGCTTGATTATTATCATAATCTTATGTTTCTTGGTAAGAACCTAAGTCACATAAGAATTACTTATCAGGTTTAAAATACCAAGTTTCATTCTAAATGCACAAAATTCAATTTTAAAATTTAATAATTATAATCAGGTCAAAGGAGTAGGGGACAGGATGAAAAACAGAAACGTTTATAATGCAAGAGCCTGTAGAAAAAAACTTGAATGCAGTAGAGTGAGACAAATAAAATAACCAACCAATTATTACCATTACTGATTGATATTATCAAAGGCGTTATGGTTTGACTTTACTGTACATACACTATCCGAGAGAAGGCAAGACCTAGTGTTGTGGTTAAAATCGAGCTAGCCAGGAGTCGAACCTAGAATCTTCTGATCCGTAGTCAGACGCGTTATCCATTGCGCCACTAGCCCGGACTGTACAATGGTTACGAATATCTCGGATGTGCCAGCACGGAATGCAGACTGGTATGTTGTTGTAGGATGTTGACATTTGTTGCAAATGTCGGTCTACTTTCCGTTGACTCAGATAATAAAAGGCTTATTGCATGAAAATATGCTTGTCCTGCCAAGTTGAAAACTTGGTAAAATGAGTCAGAGGCAGGAGTACACCAAACACTAAAATGTAACAGCATTAACCCTGATCTACTGCCGTGACCCGGATTCGAACCGGGGTTGCTGCGGCCACAACGCAGAGTACTCACCACTATACGATCACGGCTTCTTGCTTGTTGCGCTATCAGGTTGCTGCGATGGGATGTGGTGGTTATAGCTGACTATAACGGAAGGGTTCAGACACATTTTGACTCCTCGTTTGCTTGTAATATGGCTCGTTTCTGCTGCAATTTCTTTTTGATAAGGCTGTATTTTAAAGTAACAGGCTTCACAATTCATAATATAATGCATGATCGGTATATGGACACTTTATTAGGTCCTGCACACTTCTACACCGTTTGTAAATACAAATATCTAATTTAGCAACCATGTGGCAGCAATTCAAGGCATAAAAGAATGCAAACATGGTAAAGAGGTGCAGTTGTCCAGACCAAACTGCAGAATGGGGAAGAACTGTGACTTTAACCATGATGGGGTTGTCTGTGCAGATTCTCAGTCATCCAGGTCATAGTAAAATGAAATAACCTTAGAAAAATCAACTGGACTTAGATTTCTAGATCGAAGACGTTTCACCTTTCATCCAAGAGGCTTCATCAGTTCTGCCTGACTGGTGTTGAGCCTGAGATATTTATCCCCCTCGGTGGTGTTTCAGTTCTATGAGGGCCAACAATGCCCCTTAAACATGTGAAGTTTAATGCACTTTAAACCGGAGAGGTTAACACCAAAGAGAATCTCCACAGACACCCGTCTTTTAGGATTCTTCACAGCCTGAGCAGCTCTCATATACACAAAATATATATTTTGTTATGAATTTATAGATGTCAGAAAGGTGAAATCCACAAAAAGACTCGGTGCAAACAGCTTGCAGTGCGTTGTTTAATTCTGTAAGAAGTAGCTCACTGTAACTGAAAAAAGTGCTTCTTGAAAATTCCCCACAGTACATCCCATGTCCTTCATATTACTCCTGTCAGTGTTCCAGTCAACATGTGTCAAGAGACCTACATTACACTTTGTCTATTGCTGAGAAACTGACTCCCTCTCAACAGCTAAACATACACACACACAAGGCAATGTCCCACAAACGGCGACAGCATTTCAGCTGAGGCGATGGCATTTTGCTCAGTGCCACAGCGGAGGCAGGCTGACGTTTAACAAATGCAACAGAACAGTACAGTGAGAGGTTTTTGGTGCACTCAGTATTAAGGACATAAAATGGATTGGGAAAGCAAACGCAGTGTGGCCTTTCCAGTTTTCACTGCCATAACAATAGGCACAGTTTGCATTTGACTAAGAAAACAACTTACATTCTGCAGGAACAAAGCAACCTCGCAGCTTGTCATCAGGTTAGAGTTACTAAACTACTTGCTGCATATCAAATGCGAAGGTCTGAATAAATAAGACACATTGCAGCATCTGCACAGTGTAAAAGCATCTTTTGGTTTAAATAAGACCCCAGTCCCCACTAGCTTAGACAGCTGAGTTACACATTTAAATAAAATTACATTAACATCATGAGAGGTTTCTCAGTCATTGTACCAACTCAGTTATATAAGAAAAACATCTAGTCCCTCATAAATGTTACAGTACAACAGATAAACAAATGCTTTCAAACTGAGCACAGTGGCACATTAACACAGACAATGGCAGTGCTTCGAGTCTAATAAGAGCTTCAAAGAAAAACAAAATGCTAAACCTTCATATTATAGAATTTCCAAAGAATTTGGTCTAAACATAGGTCGGTCTCAGCAGTATCTAATGCAAGGACCTGGGTCAAAAATACAGACTGATGGCAGCTGGATCAGGAGCCTCCATTCTCCTCCGTAGCTTTGTCACGCAGCTCATGAAGAATGGCAGTCAGGATTGCTTTCAGTGCCACGTATAAAGACTCAGTCTTCTCTGATGCAGGGTCAGTCTGGAGGGGAAAAAAAGGTAATTCATGCAAACAGAATGCACATTTCAATATATTCAGCATACACCTTGTGTTAACGCTGACCTTAGTAAACACTTTTATTGTGTGGTTGAGAAAACTAGTCTCCACATCTTCAGGCACTGGCAGAAGGTGAGCAGCACAGTCGAGGACACACAGCAGAGTGAGCCGTTGACCCTGTCAGCGGGGGGATGGAGGATTACCACACTACAACACAGCATGTTCAGTTGCACATTGAAAACATTTTCATGTTTCTTATTTCTGCTTCAAACTACAAAACTTTTTCTATTTTCTTTTCTTGGCCAATAGTATATGAGCTGAGCAGAGAGCACCAGTACATATTAAAGACTTTAGTGTAATTTACAAATTTGAAAAGATTGGGAAATATAGACTTGTGTAATTTCTGTTGGCTGCCGTGTCTAACAGCAGCCTTCACACTGTGACTGTCAGGTACATGCAGTGAGTTAAATGACAAGGTTAAGATGATTACTTCTGACTATATGTTGAAGTTTTATACAGTATCTTGGCAAAGAAAAACTGGAGTTCAGTGACCTGTTCTGATGCTCGCTGGTCTTTGTCCAAACTGTAGATTATACAGCAATTTGGACTGTTGTGAGGAGTAAACATATTCATAGTAAAAACTGGCAGAATTAAGTTATAAATTATAAATGGCCAAGCAGACTAAACCTTCTCAGTTTTTTTTAATGTAGCTGTTGTTAGAAAATTCTGACTATAAAAACTGAAGAGGTGCCCTGTCAATCACACTGAAATGAAGAAATTAAACATCTTGTTCAAACACATTTTTACAAACTTTTCCACTTGTTGCATACTGGCAGTCTCATTGTGATGCACGTGTATCAATTTCTGTAAGTTCAGAACAGAAGGAATCTGTAGAAATGGAAATGCTGTCCGTGCGCGGTGCCGTACTTGCCACAGAGTTAAACAGCTGGCTGCAGCAAAGCTGGGTCACACACTTAGTTGAGTGCGTGCTTCCACTACTTACTTCTGACAGTGATGTTGTGGGAGATATTCACAACAGCTACCTTTTCAAGCGAGTTGAGAGCACTCGCCGGGTTTCCGTTCGTCTCACTGAGAGCTTTTACATCATCACTGCTGATGACTGGATCCCTGAGCTGCTCCAGCCATGACCACATCAGACTGGACAGAACCAGAGGATCTCTCTCCATGCACAGCCTCTCCCAGGCCCCCTCTCTGGAGTTCAGCTCTGTCTGCACATCACAACAAGGAGCACTCAGACAGTGACCGGACTGTAATGAAGTGTAAATACTGGTGCAAAAGCACACAGCTTTAAATCAGGGTTAACAATGGACTACAAATGTGTGGCAGTTGTGGTTCCGACTGTTACACAGTTCACTGATTTAAAAAAACTGTACTCTATTAAGGGTGTGTTTCTAGGGTTAGGATTTTCAAAATCAGGGTTTCAAGAGATAATTTTCCAGGACATTTTCAGTGTCGCAAGGCTGTGATGTCAAATGCCGATCACATCCTAGGTTAACAAGTTCCTTTGTGTGGAAGTCTCTTTTAAATCATATGTTAATCTACAGTGTGACAATACTTTATATCTGAATAGCCAGTCCGTGGGTGCTTCATGACTGATTACTGACACTGGTCTCTCTCTCTCACACACACACACACACAGACACTTGAATTTGAAAAAACAAAGTTTACTTTCAAGTCTTTAGACCCTCACAATGTCATAAAAGCCACATATATTGTGTTTTTTGCCTGCAACCAGCAAACAGATTGCGATCAGACCCCTTCAGGATACCTTCAGAGTTAGACTGGTAAAACTAATGAATTTATAGTATCAGGAAAATTTCATAGCAAAAATGTCTTCCACATCATCTACTTCTCATGAACTGTATGATGACTACAGGTACACATATTCATCCACTGCTCATCTGGATGACATTTCATCCTGGACTCACCTGGAGTGTGATTCACCCCAGTATGTTCAGTGAGGAAAGCTGAATGGCAAAACAACTGTACACTTTAAAAATGAAAGAGTTGAGGAAACTTAAAAATGCTGCCAGCTGCAGCGTCTTGTTTTCTCAACTAAAGGCTTTTTAATTGTTCTAACATAAGTTAAATTTACTTCAAATTAGCAGTCAGGTCAACTCAAAAATTACACAATGTACTGTCAGCAAAAGGAAAATACAAAAATGTGAAAATTATTTTCCAGGATGATGCAGCATTTTTCCAGAAAACATGGAAACCCTGAAAATTCTTAAATGATAATTCACCAACAACCTCTCACACTGACAGCTTGGTGTCTAAAATGCAGCATGTGTAAGAATATCACAATTAATTTTACAAATCCAAACTATGGTGGAGAATATATTCTACTGTATCTCACACCAGTGACAGAGCTGCAGTACTGTAGATGCTGTTCCATGGTACTACATGTTATGAGATACCTACCTGCCACACTGAGACCTTGGAGGTGAGGTATTTGACTGTCAGGTCCATGGCCAGAGCTTTGGCCACCAGCAAGCGTCTGCTCTCTGGAGAAAGCTCAAACTGGAGGGCCATGAAGGGGGCCTCTGAGACATCCCCTCTTTCTGCTTCACCAGCTGACACATCTATGACCAGCCGCTCCTCACTGGCTACCAGTCTGCTTGTTGATAATAAGGCTGGGACTGTGGTGACACAGTGGGACTCCCCGCCCTGCTCTGACAGATCTGAAGACAAACTCTGACATCCCTTATGTAGGTGCTTTTTAAAAAAAGGACAACCAGGATTTTGCTTTGTTTTGATTGGGTCTTGAATGCTGTTGATAACGGCCTGAGGAGAGAGGTCACAAAACCTGGGTGATTTACAGGCTGTAAGGCTGCTGTAAGACGAGGAGTGTTTGATCGGGGAGTTGTTTGGGTTGTTGCTCTTCTGGTTTGCTAAATGGCGCTGCTGTGGTCCAAGCTTGTGAAGGACAGAATCACTGTAGCTGAGACTCTTGATGTTCAGCAGAGAAGATCTGAGAGGGCTGTTTACACTCTGCTGCCTCCACAGGGGCTCAAGCTCATTATCACTGGGAACAGGCTGATCATGAGGAGTCCTGGAGTGCAGAGCTGCTGGGCCGAAAGAATGAGATGAACACAGTGGGACAGGAATGGCCTTCCCTCTCATCTCCTTCACCAGTTGCTGAAGGGCCCTTCTCCACCTCTTCTGTGAGGTCAGGGATCTCCAGCCACTCCTCCTCCATCACCGTCTGTCTGTTGGCTGCGATGTCAATGAGGAGCCTACACACCAGCTGGATGATTTTTGGCACGTTCTTCATCTGCCGAGCCTCATATCCATGCAGCAGGTGGCGCTGCCGGGTGAGGTACTGGGACAAGGTGACGGCACTCGTATTGGGTTCTGCACAGGAGAAGATGCTTCGGAGGGGAATCAGAAACTGGGCAAACTCCCTGACACACAGCAGCTGGCCTCTGGTCTGGATGGAGTTAGGTCTCTTGGCTCGCACAAACAGAATGGCTTGGTCAGCACTCATCCGGGATGTGAAGACCAAGTAACAAGCTAACAACACACCTACATGAAGACACATTAAAACTATGTAAACTGACATTTTAAAAGCATACATAATGCTTGTAACATTTCCAATTTGCTGGTGGTACAAACCTGTTCTTCCAAGACCAGCATGGCAGTGGACAGCCATTTTGCCCTCCTGGACAGCAAACGACATGACTTTGACCATGTCGAGGATTGTCGTCAGAGAAGCCACACCGTAGTCCTTCCAGCCAAAGTTGTAGTAATAGACTGAAACACACAATGCCAGAGGACTGAATTTAAAACTGTTCATTTCAGACATGGAGTACACACCCTTGCTGGCTTTTTCTGTTAAAGTAAAGCCTTGGTATCATCCAAATGTACATTAAGAGAGTCCTCCATCAATTTAATACCATCAGGCTCAGGGCAGACATGAAAAAATAAAGGATCAAAACTCGAAGCAAAGACGGATGTCATGTTATACCACACACTGTGCCTCATTCACCAGCCATTCTTAAGAACACATTTCTTTTTAAAACCCACTTACAAAGTTCTCACAAAGATTCTGCATTCACCAAATGTTTTCTTATCTGGAATTTGTTCTTGGGTAAGAAGAGAATCTACATTCGCACATCTGACTGCAAGCAAGCAAAATTTATTTATATAGCACCGTTCTAAACCTACGTTACAAGGTGCTTTACAGTAAAACATAAAAATGAATAAAACCAGATAAAAACACATTTACACAATAAAACAATAACAGCAAGAATGCATAATCAAAACAAACGCATCAATCAGTGAAGTTGTTAAAAGCTTGTGAATACAAATATGTTTTAAGAAGTGATCTAAAAACAGTCAGGTTCGGAGCAGATCTAATATCCTGTGGCAGACCATTCCACAGTATAGGAGCCCGAACTGAAAAAGCTTGGTCTCCCCAGTGTTTCAGTCTGGACTTCGGTGCTTCCAGGAACAACTGGTTAGAAGACCTAAATGTCCTCTCTGGAGCATAAAAACGCACAAGCTCAGAGATATATGAAGGTGCTAGACCATGTACAGCCTTAAAGACAAACATCAACAATTTAAAATCAATCAAAGTGAACAGAAAGCCAATGGACTGAGGCAAGAACTGGAGTTACAGTGGTGTGAAAAAGTGTTTGCCCCCTTACTGATTTCTTATCTTTTTGCATGTTTGTCACACTGTAATGTTTCAGATTGTCAAACAAATTTATATATTAGTCAAAGATAACACAAGTAAACACATCATGCAGTTTTTAAATGAAGGTTTTTATTATTAAGGGAAAACAAAATCCAAAACTATATAGCCCTGTGTGAACAAGTGTTTGCCCCCCTGTCAAAACACTGGTTTATCGCACCTGAGTTCAATTTCTCTAGCCACACCCAGGCCTGATTACTGCCACACCTGTTCGCAATCAAGAAATCACTTAAATAGGACCTGCCTGACAAAGTGAAGTAGACCAAAAGATCCTCAAAAGCTAGACATCATGCCAAGATCCAAAGAAATTCAAAAACAAATGAGAAAGAGAATAATGGAGCTCTATCAGTCCGGAAAAGGTTATAAAGCCATCCCTAAAGCTTTGGGACTGCAGCGAACCACAGTGAGAGCCATTATCCACAAATGGCGAAAACATGGAACAGTGGAGAACCTTCCCAGGAGTGGCCGGCCGACCAAAATTACCCCAAGAGCACAGCGACAACTCATCCAAGAGGTCACAAAAGACCCCACAACAACATCCAAAGAACTGCAGGCCTCACTTGCCTCAGTTAAGGTGAGTGTTCATGACTCCACCATAAGAAAGAGACTGGGCAAAAATGGTTTGCATGGCAGAGTTCCAAGACGAAAACCACTGCTGAGCAAAAAGAACATAAAGGCTCGTCTCAGTTTTGCCAGAAAACATCTTGATGATCCCCAAGACTTTTGGGATAATACTCTGTGGACAGACGAGACAAAAGTTGAACTTTTTGGAAGGTGTGTGTCCCATTATGTGTGGCGTAAAAGTAACACCGCATTTCAGAAAAAGAACATCATACCAACAGTAAAATATGGTGGTGGTAGTGTGATGGTCTGGGGCTGTTTTGCTGCTTCAGGCCCTGGAAGACTTGCTGTGATAAATGGAACCATGAATTCTGCTGTGTACCAAAATATCCTGAAGGAGAATGTCCGGCCATCCGTTTGTGACCTCAAGCTGAAGCGAACTTGGGTTCTGCAGCAGGACAATGATCCAAAGCACACCAGCAAGTCCACTTCTGAATGGCTGAAGAAAAACAAAATGAAGACTTTGGAGTGGCCTAGTCAAAGTAGAAATTGAACTCAGGTGCGATAAACCAGTGTTTTGACAGGGGGGCAAACACTTGTTCACACAGGGCTCTATAGTTTTGGATTTTGTTTTCCCTTAATAATAAAAACCTTCATTTAAAAACTGCATGATGTGTTTACTTGTGTTATCTTTGACTAATATATAAATTTGTTTGACGATCTGAAACATTACAGTGTGACAAACATGCAAAAAGATAAGAAATCAGTAAGGGGGGCAAACACTTTTTCACACCACTGTATATGCTCATGACGCTGTGTATTAGTCAAAAGATGAGCAGCTGCATTTTGAACCAACTGGAGCTGAGACAACGAAGCTTGAGAAATGCCAGTATACAACTAATAGCTTGCTTGCTTTTAAAGTTTTAAAATTAATTTAATGTATGAATATTTATAGCTCAGAATTAGGAAACACATCACTTAAAAACCAAACACATTTAAATGCATATTTTTATTTCTAAGTTTTGTTAAATTCTTTAAGTGTCTCTCAGATATCATGGCCAGCATTGAGGCTGTCTGTATAAATGTTTGGTTGTACAGAAACGTATCTGGGATCAGACTCAGGGCAGTTGAAGGGACCTGGGTGCACACACTGTGCTCAGCTGACGGCTGTTATGCTACTGTTGTGGCCCCAAACCTTTAGGTTCCAATGAAGATTTAGAGCAGTCTACTGAGGTCAGACTCACATCCCCAGATTTTTTCTCAAGTGACATCACTCAAATATATTTTTTTTCATGTACATTAGTTCTGTCCAACATGTCTTTGATGAATAAAATCCAGTTGTAGATGACACAGCAACTAAAGATACGTTCTTTCACAATGTTTCTTGCTCATTAAATGGATTTTATTTTCCTAAGCATAATAGAGCTAATAGAGATACTAAATGTAACCACAGTTGATCTTTGTGTATAGTGTACCTTGCGCAACTTTACATTAATGGGACAGCATTTAATTAAGACTTAAGTTGAAAGGGATACTAAAAGAGTCAAACCTGCCATCATGACTTTTATGTGACTGGTGCTTAATTAAAGAGGCCTATGTCTGAAAGAGAGTTGGTTGTTTTTAAAACCAGAGTTTGAAGAACTGATAACAAGCAAGTGTTTTTACCAAGTGTAAAATGAAAGACAGCGCTGCTCAAACCCCAGCTGATGCTTTGATGAGGTGACTTGGGAGAAGCTCTCAGAAGAGCTCGTTAGAAAGAGGAATCTAGAGTGTAACTCTCCACAGACATGTGGAATCCCTCAGTAGTTACTTGGTTACTAAGGACCACCTCATGTTCCAGATGTAGACAAAACACACCAGTGATGGAACGGAGAAAAAAATATTACATTTACCTCTCAAGTAAGATAGAGAATTTCACCAACAGTTGGTAAAAATGCTGATGCTATCAAGCAGTGTTAGAGAGCGAATAACCTTAAATTCTACAGCATATTCTGCCAACTAACATGAACCATGGGGGTTTTATGAGGAGCGCTCCTGGGCAGCTTTATTAAGCACGGTTCTCCATAACACATCCATAAACACACACCTACGTGAGTGACTGTGCATGATGGCATGGCTGTTGTGAAATTTTTTCCCTGCATAAAATGAAGACTGACGACAAAACAAACCATTCCCATTCATTCCCAACTCCGATTTCGAGCTCAGAGGTAAATGGAATGCAGCATAAGGGTAATGATAGCGTTAGCATGTGACATGAAGTGATGCTTCTGTTGCCTGCATCGTCCGTTCCACAGCACCAGAAGGCAAATATTTCAATTAACAGGCATTTAAGTGGCATCAAAGTGAGGCACAGAAATCTGCAGGGTAATTCTGTCCTGCTGACACCAACTGTATAGGAAAGAGCTTCAGTACCCCTCACTATTTAAAATGACAGTCAAAATAAAACTAGTGTGGATTCATTCAGGTCTAACAGGATGCACACACAAACAAGACTGCTGCTTTGTTTGAAATGGAACAAGCTTTCTGTAAAATAAAAATAAATATGACCATGGCCTATGGTTATATCAGATCATTTGCAGAATTTTCAAAGCACAGTTCTCTGTCAGTTAATTTCACTGATGGCATCCAGGATTCCATTTTTCTTTATTATCACCTACCTGTCGTACAATCAGTTTGTGTCCTGTTCTACACAGTCTAAGGTGTGTTAGTGAGGGTGGATATAGAGACTCACTGCCTGCCTCCATGAAAGTTTCAGGACGATAAGTGAAACCGCTCTCCTGCTCCACTGGGTTACCGCAGCTGGCATGTTCTCCAGGACGCTGCAGGTTAATGACCGTCTTTAAACCACACCTGAGTACAACAACAAGTCTGAGTCAGTTTTAAAAACAATCTGCATAACAGACTGCCACAAGGCTATACAACACATATATTCACAGCAATATTTCCATTGACATCTGACAGCACTGCAGGAGAAAGAAACCAATTCAACCAAGATTTATTTCACTGTAAATTCATACATTACTATAGTATCACTGAAAATAATCAAAATAAGTTTAACATGAAAACAATATCTGTGCAGATTCTCAGTCATCCAGGTCATAGTAAGCTGAATAATGTAGAAAAAAAAATCAACTGGACTTTCACCTCTCATCCAAGAGGCTTCATCAGTTCTGACTGGTGGTGAGCAGGAGGTACTTATCCCCATCGGTGGTGTTTCAGTCCTCTGGTGGCCAACAATGTCCCTTAACAACTGATTCGTTATAGCCCAGTATTGGTGAGAGTCCTTACCTGTCTTTGAACCCTCACCTGTGGACCGACACCTATTGTCCTGGTAGATTAGTAGCACCAGTAGAGTACTACACTTAATTGCATACACCACATCATGTATGCAATTAAGTGAAGTCAGGAGTGCAACAACTTGTACACTGGTGAAACTAAGCAGCCGCTGCACAAATGCATGGCCCAACACAGGAGGGCCAACTCCAGTGGACCAGAGTCAGCAGTCCACCTCCACCTGAAGGACAAAGGACATTCTTTTGAGGACAGTGAAGTCCAGATCCTCTCCAGAGAACATTGCTGGTTCGAGAGAGGAGTCAAGGAAGCTATTTTTGTCCAAATAGAACACCCCTCACTAAATAGGGTGGTGGACTAAGACACAACTTGTCACTCATAATGTGAGGGCTCAAAGACAGGTAACGACGCTCACTGATACAGGGCTGTAACACCTCAGTCGTTAGGGGACATTGTTGGCCATCGAAGGACTGAAACATCAGTCAGACAGAACTGATGAAGCCTCTTGGATGAGAGGTACGATGTCTTCTACCTAAAACCAAGTCCAGTTGATTTTTTCTACGTTTTTTCAGATGAAAACAATATGTGAAAGAAGGAGAGTACTGTACCTTTGAAACTGTTCAATTATATTATATTTCTCTATGATTTCAGTGGAAGGCCTTGCCATAGCTAGTAAGTTGTCTGTATCATGCAACCTTTTCCTTGCCATAGCTAGTAAGTTGTCTGTAATCCTGAAAATGAAAAATATGATGTTACTGTAGATACAGCAAAATCATTACAAAAACAGACGTGTGATTAGGGCTGGTTAGCAAAGGGGAGGCCAGGTCTCATGTCTTTATTACAAAATAAAAGCTTAAGACACCAAAAGAGATCCACAAAGACCCTTGAAACATAGCGATGCACTGAAACCAAAGATCTAAACTGTTCAGTTAATTCATTTTAAAAACACTGACATGATCATAGTGAAAAGGACAGATGTACTGACGTTTCATGTAACACTCAATGTGGACATCACTGACCTGTACTGACTGAGCAGAGCACTGAGAAAAAAAGAACATGAACAGTGAAGCCTGTGTGAAAGGTGACCAGGAGACTGGCCAACATACCAGGACGAGTAGAGTCCTTTGATAGCTTGCTCTTCATCACTCCAGCGAGAGGGGTTCTCATATTTACAGGCTTTCCCTCCACAGGTCATGGAGCACTGCATGTGACCAGGGATGACATGTCTCAGGGTCTCCCCCATCTTGGTGTACTTTGCTGTGGGGACCCTTGCATTGGCTGGGGGAGAAACAAAACCAAAACATAACATTTTGACAATACTCATCAGTCATCATCAATGAACTAAATGCTTAAACACTAGTTACAGTATTTCTTCACTGTGCGTACATCTCCTGGTCTTGTGTTCAGCTGGAAGCTGGTTCACACTGACAGCCAGCATGACTCTGTGGGAAGAGGAAAGGATCTCTAAGGCAGAGCTACGTCTGTGCGGCAGGGCCTTTAGCAGGATGTCTGTGGCAGAGTACCTGCGGTCGTGCCTCCTCTCATTGGCTGTTGTCTCCCTGGCTAAAGAGCGCCATTCTCGCTGCTGCTGCACGTCACAGTGCAGGTCGTGCTGCTGTCTGCACTGAGAGCAGCTCTGAACTGAAAAGGCTCTGAGCCCAGGGTGAATCATTGCATGACAATCACCCATCAGCAAAGAGAGGCAAATACAACCTCAGTTCATCAGAGGCATTTGAAGTGTCACCATGACAACCGTCTCCAAAGTCATTAGTGGGAGGAAGATGGGCGTGAATGCTGCACAGACGCACACATCTGAAGCAGGTGGCTTGAAGCTGAGAGAGGAAAATGTCCTGCGTGCTTGCTGAAAAGGCAGCATGCATGTAGTGGCACACTGGCCTGACCACACAGCATCAGCCAGTGTTAGCAACCTGCTTCTGTCTAGATCAACATCCATGTGGTTTACATGACACACAGGGTGTGGGATCTGACTATGGATTATGTTAATATAAAATGTCCTTTTTTTGTGTGTAATTTAATGCTTATTAGGATTTTGAACACCCCACCCTCCCTCTCTACCCCACCCCGTACGTGGGCACCACAGTAAAAAGAAAAAAACAACAACAAAAGAGTACATACGGTAGGTAGGTCTTTCACTAAGCCTATAGTGTACACCCAGCACCGGACTGTTTTGGGAGAGGATGCATTTACTCTAGCATTCAAAAGTCCCTGTAATAGGATCTGTAAGAGGGCGTTATGCCATGACCATGCAGTCACATTGTGTGGAAGAATCCAGGATTGACAAAAAAGTTTCTTTGCTGCTGACAGTCCCACTAGTCATATCTTAAGAGTTACTTTGGTGAGCAGAAGTTCAGAGGATTCATTAAGGAGGTGAAGTGAAAACTTCACATTTTCATGTTTTTCTTTTCTCTTAAAAAAATCTTTTAGTCTATAAATTGTCAGCAATCGAGACAGCAAACGCCCATTTAAAATTATTGGTGCAAAATAAAACTGAATATTTTGTCTGATGAAACTGGCTGGATCTACAAGATTATTTTATTCACCTGGAGCAAATATATTTCCAGATATCACTACTGCCTGCCACTAACAACATATAAATTAGTGTTTATAAACACACTGACTTTTTGTGTCCATTAGTATAAGACAAGACTAGAGAACTACAATACAAACATTGTGTTTGAAGGCTGCAATTCAGCAGCCAGTCCAACTGAAGCCAAAGGTGAAATGCTACTGCTGGCTCACTGTGTGGGAGCAGAAGGCCGACTGATACAAAACAGAGATGAGAAAAGGCTGCAGCGGCAGAAAGCACTAGAAGGCTGGCTGCACAAAATACAAGTAAAACTTACTCCATTCACCATTTGGCCACTGTTACACCTGTTAGTTATCAAGTCTTAACAATCATCACCAGAGTTTCTTCTGAAATTAACAATGAAACATTCACAAAAGCCAATCTGAGGATGACTTGTAACTGAACCAAGAGACTACTTCACAAAGCTACAATCTGCATTCACTTTGTTAGGGCTACGAAAAAAAGGATGATTCTGGAGTATGTGTATAAAAACAAACACTATTTCATCATGTTTATTCATTGTTATTAGACAAAATGGTCAATTAAAGCTACATCATATGACAGCAGATGTATTGTGGGTTTGTGGTTATCCTCCAGTAAGCACCAATTTTAAAACCCTAATCCTCAGGCCATTGGCCGTTCATGTGAGCTTGCCTGACATCCACCGGCAGCCCCACCATAAAAGCCCCCAAAAAAACAAACAAACAAACAAAAACCATCCACCAGTGCCATTGTAAAAGCATAGTTTTTCGACTGTGCCTGGTTTTATGGATATATATTTTACCTCCTGCTGCTGCACTGTGACCAGAGGATGTGGAGAAAAATACAGGGCCTGAGGTTACTGTAACTCTACTCTGTGGAACATAATGCTAAGTTTTAAAAAAAACAAAACACACACACTGTTAACATCTTGTTTCTGCAAGGTTAGAGAGAATTATTATAAGGCTGTAGAAGTTACTCTGTCTGTTGCCGTTCATCCTGCTGTCCACTTTGGACACATCACTGGCAGCAGGAGGTGTGAATATTCACGAACTGTCCTCTTGTTTTAGGAGGAGGTTCTCTGGTTTTATCGATCTGAAATAATTACAGACTATTTGGAATTATGATGGGTGCAAAGCTAATCTAGAGGTACCCTATATTAAAAATAAAATGGCTGGAAATGAGCATGCCATGGGCTATTTAAGTAAGTATTATGTTCACCATGTTCACTGCTAACTCATAGCATCTGTCTTGTATATTATGGTTGTGATGATGAAGGCAATGTCTCACCTGAAAGTTTTGTCTCACAGCTACAGTAACACTGCCCTGCCAGTGTCTCAGCCTACATTAAAGAAAATCTCATCTGACTTCTAATGAATTAAAAGGCTAAATGATAAAATGGACTTCAACAAGATATAAAATGGTTAATTTAAATTTGTGGAATCAAATCATTTTAGGTCTAAAGTTCTGTGCTGTACCACCAGCTTCCCCTGTCTGTGTGTGTGTGTGTGTGTGTGTGTGTGTGTGTATTGCCGAGCGCTCCTACCTGTCTCCATCTCTGTGCTGATCTCTCCACTGTGGGCTCCACTCATGGAGAAAGGCAGGTCACTCAGTATGCTGACACCAGCTGCCATGGCAGGGGGGCTGAAAGGTGTGAGTAAACATTGTGTCAAAGGACAAAAAAAAACAGCTTTGCTGATAGCGCAAACAGTAACAAGGTGCACACACAAATGAGATACGAGGAGTGTGAGCAGTGTTGCCTGGCAGGATAACCCAAGGGAGAGAGGGAAATATGCAAGCCAAGCCACCATGTCAGCAGCTTGTCTGTTTGACCAGTGCACCTCTGGGAGCAGGAAGGCGTGGCCTGGGGACAACAGCAGGAGCAGGCTCACATCTGAGATCCAAGGTGCTGAGTTACACAGCGCACTAACTTCAGCCGCACCCACACACGGCACCCACAATAGAGGAGTGTCAAGATAAATGCACACCACAATGGCCTCATCACACTCAGCTCCATTTCAGTATGTTCTGGGTTCTAAGCAGTAAAAATATTTGCATTAAGATTCAGGAGACTCTCCGTGCTTTACAAGACTGCTCAAACATTTATCAATTCTTAAAGCCAACACATCCGCCTGCTATTGGGAAGCTTCAGAGTAGCCTAATGATTCTTGACTTGCATGTCTGAATTACCGTACTGTATGGAGCCCAATATCAGAGTGGAGTCACACAGGTCTCCCAGAGTGTCAGTTTAAATCCAGGGACTGACTGATTGTCATCTTACACCCCGAGTTCCAATGAGCCTCACTGCCTGCACCAACTGGTGTTGCAGGAGTGCAACTCTGCACCTTTACACTTCTGCACCGGTCCATGTCTAAATGAGCAAGGTCACTGTACTTCACATGCTAACTTTTTAACTGGTAAACTATTTCTTAAGCTGTGCTTTTTCCTTGCTCTTTGATAAAGAGAATTAGGATGGCTTAAACAAAGATCAAGAATTCTAGTTGAAGTAAAAATTTGTTCAATAGACAGCACACTAAAATTATTAAAACACAAAATAGACTGTTAGATTTAAAATCAAAAAAGCTGATTTGTTTAGAGGTGCAGTCTGGACTTCTTTCCATCATGCATCCCCCCTATAGAGGCAAACATGTCATGCTTTGGCAACCTAGGATGGTGCACCCCTACCATTTCATACCACAAATCACAGTTTCAAGTTGACTTGAAAGATCAATTGAGATGAAACTCTAAACCTATAACTATAAAACCCTTATAAATAGAAAATATAAACTAGAATATTTTACTTCAAAAATGTTAAGTTCATGTGATAGTTTTTTTTTTTTTATTTAGCTCAAAGCCACTCATACATTAACACTGTAACACTGTGCTCTGCATCTAAATCGAGACCTGGAATCAGTTTTCAGGCACTGAGTATTCGGAAACACTGCTACCTGAAAACAAGATCTGAGCAGGATGTATTAAATGTTAATGTATGACACATGAAAGAAAAGTGTACTTACTCATCTGCATATAAATGATTAGAATAAATTATTTGGTTAGTTGAAATCAAAATATGTGCTGCTAAAAGGTTATTATTTTACTGAACACAATACAGCTTCAAAAACTACCATTACCACCATGTGGTGTATACTCCCACCAACCAGTCAAACTTGCATGAATGAGATAAAGGTGAGGACACAGACCTTTGACCACAAAACCTAATCAGTTTAGGTTTGAATCCAAGTGGATGCCTGTGCCAAATTTGAAGAAATTCCCTCAAGGTGTTCCTGCTCACAAAAATAGGGTGGACATACAAACAACCTGAAAACATACCTAACGCCTCTGGCCACAGGGGCATAAAAATTAGGAGAACCATATTTCACTGCTATTAATGTACTTGTAAAGGTGAAGAAAACCACCAAGTGATCTTACTATTTGCTGTATTTTATATTTAGTAAAGCTTTAGATATACTGTACCAAAAGTCAAAGTCCTTCCAAGCTACCATATACTTACTGTACTAATCAAACAAACAATCTATAAATAAGTATTCTGTGCATACATACAGTTGTAACAGTTAATTCAAAGATGTGGCCTCGATTATTAAGGCCACAATTCTTATTTGTTTTGGAAGAAGGCGACAGACACGTTTAGGGCACTCCTGTTAAGACTAAGGCTCCTGTAGTCAGTGAATAATTGATGGTGTAAAGTTAGAGCTTGTCTTTTTCCATCCACAATGTTTATTGGACTTCTTTTACACTGTAACCTACACTTCTCAATATAAACTGACATGGCACCAAAACCTATGCCACTGGCTGAAGTGTTTCCAACATTGTGGCCAGAAAGAAGCCAATCCAATCAGTTCAGCGGTCTGTCCGCCTGGAGCAAGACCTAATGTTACCTAATGTTCAGCGGTCTGTCCGCCTGGAGCAAGACACCACTCAGCAATGTCTGAGAAAGCTCTTGACAACAAGCCAGTGAATGAGAAGGCTCTCTCCGTGACTAACGTGACGCATGTTCATCAGATATTAAGAGTTACATCAAACTGAGCTAATACAGTGACCACAAATAAATCACTTCACTCAGCCATTAATCACAGTCAACACAAAGCTTCACACATTTGTGGTGGATAAGCTCATGTCCCCTGTGAAGCCAGCATGTTGGTGGACATGGGAGAAATGGTGCGAAGGCTGAATTGCTGCTAATGAGTGTGGGATGTGAGTCATTTTCACTAAGTGTGCTAATAAAGAAATATGGCAGAGGAGATGGTGCTCTGAAGGGATCCTGATCACACAACGGCAACACAGACAGCCTTCACAGTATTACAGCACAGTTCTCTGTCAAGGTGGAGTGATCTGGTATCAACTATGGGGCTAATCAACTAGGTAGTGGCTCTTGCCTGCCACCCTGGTTGTTGATCAGCCACTAATTAGAAAACTAAAACTAAACCTATTATAAATATTCTTACGAAATCTAGTTGTCTGCATAGTGTGGAGACTATAAAACCTTAAACTTGAGACAAAAAAATATCCAAAAATGGTTCATGATTAAGATGAGCAAAGCAATTAATGAATATTTGTATTGTAAAGAAGTCTTCCCCTTTCGTGATTCATTCACACTTTAATCTATGAAACATCACATAATAAAGAAAAAAATCTTTCTGGAGACCAGAGTCACCTGTTTAAGATCTAGTTTTGTCTGACAAGCTGCCCAAAGCCCCAGAAGATTCCATTTACAGTTTTTGTTCTACCTAATATTTAGAGTTGAGGGCAGAGAAATTTTATTGAATGGAAGTGTAATGTGACCGCACCCTTACAGGTCAGTAACAGGTTCTCATTAGCTACTCAAGAGGAAAAAAAGCTAATAATGCTGCTAAAAGCTCATTAGAGTCAGAACCAGAACCCGAACCCGAACCAGCTGACATTCTACGCTGTGCCGAAATCACTCTCACTAATGCTCGTATAATAAATGCCTAATAATTTATACGCTGCAATAACTAGTAAATGGACAATCAAGTACCACAGCTGTAGCTTTTGCATAGAAATGCGACATTTTGCATCGCGGGGTCGTTGGAAGGACCTAGTGTACAAGATGTACAGTACTTGACAGTAGGCTGCGTTTTCCCCTCTAATAATGGGAGTTTTAAGGACGCTGCCGTGCAATATATGCACACTGGATATTCAGTCACTACAATAAAATGACGTTATGGTTCACGTATCGGAAATCGGGAGTGATTTTCAGTGCAGCCTCGGACTTGTCAGCAAAGGCGCAGGTGTAATTTACAAGAATATCCATGGTTACATTAATTTAGGTGTAGCTTAGCCTTCTGACCTCCCTCTGACTAAGTGAAAACGTGGCGATAGCATACGGAGTCTGGCAGTGTCAACGGTTATTGATGAGCACGCTGTTATGGGTTGCTTTGCTCTATCTACATGTACTGGCGGACACAAGTCAAAGTTTGCCTCCTTCAGTCAGCTAACCTTAACAAACAGCTCTCTGTTAACATCCAACCTAGCTTCAGTAACTAATGTAAACTCTTATTACTGTAGGTAGCTTCTAAACTATACGCTAATATAGGTCATAAGTTAATTACTTCAAAGCTCTCTGATATGGCTTTAGTTCTGACGCCAGCTGTACTGTCATGCTTGAACGTCACAACGCTTCTTTTAGAAGAGAAATGCTAACACTACGTTAACTTCTTGAATGTTGTGTAACGTTAGTTAGCCTTACAGTAGTATGTCTAAAGAGTGACGCTAGCTTACAGTACTCCACAGTAGCTGAAGCTGCCAGAGTTAATACAGAAGGCCTAACTTACCGTTTTTCTCTTGTCTAAATCCGGGGCTGTCTTTGCAGTTTCGGACATAGTCAATTAATCTCTCTAGAGCTATCATCGTTTTGTCGGTGGCACACAGCAACCCATAGATTCCCTCTAGCCACATCATTTGGTAAGCTAAGTACAGCTAGCTTACTAGCTAGACTCTTTAGCAACGGGACATGCTGTCATGTAGAACGGCTCAATTAGGTCACGTGACCACAGAGGTTTCAGTTACTTTTGGATATGTTCATTGTATGGATGCTGATTCAACATATTTAGCTTTATTTTGAAAATCTTGCCCCATTCAAATGAATGGGAAAATTCTT